ATTACTTAGAAGTTTAACATGAAGAAAAGCAATCCCTTATTAAATAATAATCCAAAAGCTCAGTATTATAAATTCTAATCACCTTTTCCCAAACTTTAACATACATTGTATCAGCTATATTAATGACTTAATGACCATTTACACTCGTTTTTAATCTAGATTTTAAAAGAGATATGAGAGATGGGAAATTGATAAGAACTAAGAAACATTAATAAATTGATAAATTTCTATCAAACATAATGACTGATTACAAATAATTGTCTTTATGTGTCACCAAACACATAATATTGGTTGCCTTTTCTATGTTTTTAGAAATTTAAATGCCTATTTGGGTGATTATATGGATCAAACTATATATTAAAATTCTTATTTTGCCTTGAGCTTTCAATTTTATCAATATCATCAATTAAATCTAAAGTAGAAATCAGAGGGCAGGGCAAGATCTAAGTGATATGATGTCAATTTTTATTGTTTAAAATAATTGCATAACTGTAAAAGCTTTGGTTTGTTAAAAACAGAAAATCCAAAATATAAAACCATGCTATTACTATATTCAAATATCCAAACCATTTGGGTTTTTGTTTTTAATTATAAATATGCAGTCTAAGTTACAAGTCAAATAAACTTCCTATGGAAACTATAAACTTTACATTATATAAAAACTCAGAAGTAAAATTTAGGGATGCATGAAGATTTATTTTAAGACATTTATGATGCTATATATTTATGATGCTATGTTTCCCCACTGTCAGAGGCCTGATGCATGAAATTTGTGCAAGGCCCTCACAGCCGCAGTGCTTGCTTTGGCCCTGGCAACCTCTGCTTTGTCCAGAAGGTCATTGGAAGGATGTCAGAAGGTTGTTCAGCTGCCCGGTCTAATTAGCATATTATGCTGATAGATAGATAGATAGATAGATAGATAGATAGATAGATAGATAGATAGATAGATTTCACTTGTGATTAAGTGAATTGAAAAACAAAACTATCTATCTATCTAGATAGATAGATAGATAGATAGATAGATAGATAGATAGATAGATTTCTTAAATCTACCTTTAAGATATTGTGTTTTTCATGAAACAGATCTCCTTTATGTTTTGGCAGTTTAGTGCAATCTAGATGCCTTTAGTTTTTCTTTTTTCTTTTTTTCTTTTTCGTTAATTCTTATCCAGGGATATTTTTCCATTGATTTTTAGGGAGAGTAGGAGAGGGAAACACCAGTGTGAGAGAAACACATTGCTGGGTTGCCTCCTATATAAGCCCCAACTAGGGCCCCGGCCTGGGGAGCAGCTTGCAACCAAGGTACATGCCCTTGACCAGAATAGAACCCCGAGACCGTTTGGTCTGCAGGTCGATGCTCTATCTACTGAGCCGAACTAGGTATTGCTCTAGATGCCTTTTTTAAATGAATCTAGAACAAACTAATTTGGATATATATAAAAGCCCTTTTCAGCCAAAACTAGTTTGGCTCAGTGGATAGCGCATCGGTCTGCAGACTGAAAGGTCCCAGGTTCGGTTCGATTCCGGTCAAGGGCATGTACATTGGTTGCGGGCACATCCCCAGTAGGAGTTGTGCAGGAGGCAGCTGGTCGATGTTTCTCTCTCATCAATGTTTCTAACTCTCTATCTTTCTCCCTTCTTCTCTGTAAAAAAATCAATAAAATGTATATTTTTTTAAAAGCCCTTTTTACGTACATAAATGATTAATGGAATTTTAAAGCAGCCTAGCACTTTTTTAGTCTTTTGATTCCTCAACTTTAAAATGTACATTACACAATGCACTTCTACAGTTCCGAGTAGCTCCACTTTTAGGACAAAACCATGTAAAGGGGAAGAACTCAACATGCAAGCAGTACCCGAGAGCATGTGGAGACTTCTAGACTGAATATTGTCTTCCAGGGGGTCAATGTCGAAGATGGAGCCAGGATCTGTGCGCCAAACTTTGAGGTCTTTTACCAAAAGGAAAAAAATAAACAAGTCAAGAATGAATAAAAAAAAAAAAAAAGTCAGCACCAAAGAGAGTCAAGAGAAAAATCATGAACAGAACCTATGCAGAGAGAGAACATGTAATAAACAAACACACTGCAATGCAGACGTCAGAGGAGAACAAAGAAAACATCCGCTCAGCAGGAAATCTGTTGAGAAAACTTTAGGATGAAATGTAAGCCGCCCTGTTTATCTTCACTGCCGCCCCCAGCACACATGCACGCCAGACAACCCTGTGTGTCTCCCCACATCCCTGCACTCCGATCTCCCGTGCTCTCTACACACGGAAACAGGTACAGTGTTTAATGAAAACTCCTGATTGAAGACACATGGCTGATTCTTTATGTGACCAAGAGGTTTTTGTCTGAGGAAACAAAACCAACAATACTCTCTCCCTCTAACAGAAATACATGTTTAAAACGTAGGCAAGGGGTAGCCCAGTTTTCATTGTGAGCCAAAGAGCACGAGCTAACCCACATACGATAAGATACATTTATTTGAAATAAGTACAATAAAGAGAGTGACCGGGCAAGGACGGAGGGATGGGAAGACGAACAAGGTAGAGCTGCCTGCTCTCAGTGGACCATGGACTAGTTCACCGCTATGGTCAGTATCTGACTCTGCAAGCCCATTTATTCTCTTATTTTAGTTGGGGGCAAAAGGCTAAATCTAATGACTTTCATGTGTTCAGTCCCTCTACCTAATGGCTATCAAGTCCTAAAATGATCTGTACAGTACTGTACCAACATAAGGGAAATAAAAACGTAGTTAAAGATGTGTGGCAAAAATGGAGCTTTAGTAAAAACAATTCATTAGTAACCTGAAACTGGAGATCTGTTTGTCTATCTTTAATTAATATTATATAATGCTTACCAGGCACTATTCTCAGTTATAACATAACCCATTTAAGCTTTACAACATCGTAAAGTACCGTATTTTCTGGCGTATAAGATGACTTTTGAAACAAAAAAAAGTCAACCAAAAAATCGGGGGGAGGGGGGGGTCATCTTATACTCCGAATATATCCCGAAAAACGTCTCAATATGCCGCTAAACAAATTTTCCAACTCAATCCCGCACCAATCACTGCAAGGCTGCTCGGACCACCTCTCTAACTCCGCCAATCCAAGCAGGCTTTTAATGCATGCAAAGTATACATGTTCTGTACCTGAAGCTACACTGTGTTCTAGTAAAAAGCCTGCTCAGATTGGCCAGAGTCAGAGAGGCGGTCTATTAAAAAAAGAACTGGTGTTGCCTCGGAAGTGGTGGGTAGTCTTAAACAGCGAATATAGGCATAAACCTATGTTTTAACTGTAAAATTAGGGGGTTGTCTTATACACCGGAAAATACGGTAGGAATTGTTACTATTCCCATTTTATAGATGAAGAAGTTGAGGCAAAGAGACGGAGTTAGCTTAGCCAAGGTTATGCAATCAGTAAGTAGTAGAGCCTCCAAAAATTGGCTTAGTCTGAATTACTCAGGAGACCTCTCAGTATTTCTATGACTGGTTCAGAAGTTTAATGTTTGCTGAATGTAATACATTTTGTGGTTTCATAGGCAAGTCCTCAATGGAAAACAGTTTTCCCCAATTAGAAAAAAAACAAAAAAACAGAAAACGAAAACTGACTTTGAATTGCCCAGAAAATTAATAAGTTAGAGCTCAATATCTTATATTTTTAAAAATTTATAATTTCCATCTCAAAGGTAATGAGTACTGAATTCTGAGAGCTCAAAATCTAAACAATCTCATATTTAACAGGAATCTCACATTTGTTCTTGCCCCCTGACCTGGTGTGGGTTCCTGGTGAAGCTGTGCAGACATCTTCCTCCTGGGAATCAGATGCTTTGCTCTTAGGAGATGTCGATAAAAGCAAGTTAACCCTGTGATACTTTTGATGCAAACCTCACTATTTATCCCAATGAATGTGATCACTTTAAGCAACCAACTCGGGAAGATCAGCAAAACTATCAACTATCTGCAAATACGCTTGGAATCCCTCTTTAGAAAACTTCAGAGTCCCTTAGTAACCATCCAAGTAACTGGCTACCCTACTTCTGTACCGGTGTTTTACACTAAGACCAAGCCTGTCAAATATACAGTCTCCTTATCCAACTCATCTCTAAATGGCCTTTCAGTAGTCCCACAAAAGCTTTTACATTTGGAGATGATGTAACCTAACACTGAGATTGCTGAGAGGCACTATTACACAGTTACTATATATATATAAAGAGAGAGAGAGAGAGAGAGAGAGAGAGAGAGAGAGAGAGAGAGAGAGAGAGAGAGAGAGAGCGCGAGCGCAGTGTAATTGGACTAGCTATAAAAATTCAAAGGGCAACTGCTCAAAAGAAGACAATAGTCATTTGGAAGTGTGGGTTGTTGATATGCACTAAAAATTTAATAATTTCCCTGCCTAGTGCTGTCTTAGACTTCATAGGATCCTTGCTGTCTCTGCCCCCTTCAAACACTATGTCCCTAAGACTTCCCCTGACTGACTAGAAGGAACAGCAGGCAAAGAAGGTTCTTTCCTCTCTGATGTGTGGGACTTCCAGACAGTTCTCAAGTATCCCAGTTCAGAGGCAATATTCAAAAAAATACATAATCTATTCATACAATAAATCAGAATCTTCCTGGGATTCCTATTTGTGCTAGACAATGACTAGAGTACAATATGTTGATCAAATACATAAGGTAAAGTAAAACCATAGTAATGTTCAAACCGTGTTATCAACCATGTTTGATATTGGGCTGCTTCTTTGCTTAACAGGTAGAAACATTCTTAAGACCAGGAAGTTATGAAAGACAGAGAGTGTCCAATCGCAGAAAGGATTGAAACAACACCTGGCGAAAGCCACGAATGCCCTTCAGTACGCTGCGTCAATAACACTTTGGCACGTTTTCAATTGGGCAACACCTCATACATTGGAGGAGCTGCCCAATGAACAAGGAGCCTACTTCTAAAGCCTCCGTGGGCAAGCACGAGCGCTGTGACCCACTGAGAAGGAGCGTCAGCTTACCAACGATGATGCCAGGCCTCCTGTCCATCTCCACGATGTGAGGGTGGACACCTTTGTAAGCGGCATCACTGACCACCTGGGTGTTCTTCCTCACGCGCTCTGTCACAGGGTCATCCACGACAGGGGTGAAGCCTCTGCCCTTTGTCTTTTCAAAATCTTCATGATATTTGACCTGAAAAAAAGGTAAAATAATATTAACTCAAACTGTAATTTCCTATTTTTACATGGCTCACACATTCTTGACGTAATGATAGCCGTCACCACACCAGCTACCTCTAGCTTATTTTCTGCATATATGTAAGTTCTTCCATTCCAAATATAACATCTGAAACTCCAGCTTCCTAGCATCAGAAACCAAGCGCTGGTACATTCACAGTTTGGCATCATTATGGTTAGCAGTTCTTTTAAATTATATATAAACCTGTATATCAATAAGAATTTTTAAAAGAAATATTTTTAATCCTATTTCCTCTCTAAAATATACTAATTTAGGTACAAATTCATTTTCTATTCATTAACCTTTAATATGCAATACGATGATAAGCTAATTCCACACTTATTCAAGAAAAACAGTATTAAAATTTAATATGCAATACGATGATAAGCTAATTCCACACTTATTCAAGAAAAACAGTATTAAAATTAGATAACTAAAATAATTAGTTATCTGTAATAAATTTAATTATTTGTAATTCACGTTGTAATTATATACAAAGGTGTATATATACTTCAAAATATACACTTTTCAGGTTCTGAAATTGGATTAGCGTGATGGTTGTTCAACTCTGCAAATTATACAAACCACTAAATTGTATACACTTTAAATGGGTACACATTATGGCATATAAATCATGTCTCATGAAACTGTTTTTAAATACATACATATTTTTAATTTTCTTTGCAGCATGCCAGCACACCAAACTCTCCCTTAAAATTAATTAGGAATAAATCCAGCCAAATGTCTTCCATAAAATGCATTTATAATAGTCATGTTAGAAATAAAAACACACCCAAAATATCACCCAGAGAAAAACACATTTTATTAGAGAACATTTCCATTACATTTCAGTGAGATTAAAAAGTCTCCCCAAAAGTACAGGCCCCTCCGCATTTCCAGCTTTGTTAGTTATCCGGGTTATTGGTGAACTAACGCCGACAGCACACAGGGTGGTGCCACTCCTTAGTGTATTTTAGTTGTGAGAAGAAGGATCTGGTTGTACCCTACCATTGAAATATGATTTTGAGCTTCTTTGGCATATCTCAGACCAGGTGTATCTAAAATAAGACTTGGTCTACCTTTCATCTGTTTATGGTCCTGGGTATATTTTACCTGCAAAGTAAATAGCAGAACATACTTAATAAGACAATTACAATCTTTATAAATTGCATAACTTTTCCAAGTTTTCCAAATGAGTGAAATATATACAACATATTCTAAATTATTCTCCAGGTAACTTGTTCAGTGAATTAATTTCATTCTAGAATGACAATCTAAAATTTTACAAATGTAAATTTATGCAGTGGCAGCTTTTGGAAATCATCTGAAATAACACATGCTTACTGCATATACCCCAAATATTTCTTGAAAATATATTTTGTTTTCATAAGGGGAAAAAAAAAGGACTGCACATAAATAATAAATGATACACCCTTTGTAATAGTCCAAAATGAATAAAACCACTTGCCGAACTAATATTTTCTTGATTCTTCTTTACTCTTTCCATTTCAGGAGTTACACTTAAAGCCGTAGCTCTTCCCAGCTGACCTTTATAATAAACCTATCATTTCAGAGAACAAAAAAATAGGGTCCTGTGAATCAATTCAACTAAATAAGAGTCTCATAGTATTTAGCAAAAAAAAGAAAACTATGAAAAAAGAAGTTGCTCTTAGATGTCTAGTCATATTTTAAATTCTTGTACCTTAAATCAATCTATTTTAATTCATCCATAGCAATGAATCCCTGTGAATGTACTCAGATATATGGACATACCATCAGTAACACTGTAATATGCATTCCATCACAAAGGAATGTGATAAGAAATGTCTTCATGGATATTACTTAAAAGTACCTCTGCCTATATAGAATGGCACCATTGTGGTTTCTTAGTAATTAATTGTGGCAGATCTTTTGAAAGGTAAATAGGTGGCAAGATCTTGAGTATAAAGGCTGGTGTGCTTCCCACTCTATTCTCTTCCTCCTTTTCAATAACCAGGTCCCTTTTTGAGAGTAATGGAGTCACATCCAGTGTGACTCTAAATATAGCAGGAAAAGATGAGCATCTACTTCTCCAAAATATAGCTGTCAGGAAAAGTTTCAAACAATAAGATGCCTCTGTTTTATAAGCTGGACAAATAACTTGAAAGGTTTAAAGAATATAAGGTTTCTTTGAACCTAACAGATTTCCAAATTTCCTCCTCCAAAGAACTCCATCTATATGTTAATGACTTCAAAGAAGAATTCTCTCTGGGAACTGCGTCCGTCTGTGGATTACATAAACAGTAAGGAGCTAGGGTAGGCTGGGAGTTAGTGTCTCAGTAAAAATTGGCAGCCCCTACCAGGATCCCTAAAATGGGCCTGCCTCAGGTAACCTATTTAGCATACACACTTTATAGTTGCTCCCCAAACAGCATCCAAAAATAAAGTGATAATAGCTGGGAGTGGGCTGAACAGGCTAGAGAGATCGTGTAGAGGAAAGAAAGGGAATGGGAACACTGACGTGCAGGGCCATGATGCCAGGAGCCGCCGCCGAGTCCCTGTGAGGAACCACAGCCAGCACGAGCAGGAAGACTAGATAAGAGGGACACACAATAACCTGCGGACAAGTCACACCGGCATGTCCCTGGGAACTTTGGAAGGGAGAAAGGAAGAATGCCTGGCGATGCCCACAAGACCTAAGACCCTGAAACCTTTCCAAAAAGTTGATAGTCCATTGAGAGCAGAGCCTAATGTCAACTCTAGGTCATGAACACTTGTCAACATCACCCCTTCAGCGACTCGCTGACAATATGCTTGGTGTTATAAGAAAGAAGCTGCTAGGATCCCACATTGCTGATGTTCCTCTGGTTCTCTTTCACTCTCTTCAGCTCTGGTGGGTCGGAAATGGCAGTTGCCTGTTTAATCTCTCCTTTGTATTTTACCTGAGGAAGATAAATAAGAATGTTAATGGGCAGAATGATGGTTTCCACCCAAACACCACAGACAATGAGCCTCAAATTAGCCCTGTTTTCTCACACATTGTTTCCACTGTAGATATGTTGACATCTACCACTGGATTCTGATTCATCTGACTTAGCAAACACAAGGACTGGTTGTGCTTTTTAAAAACCAACTTCTAATAAATACTTTGTGTGCAATATCCAAACTAACTGCCAAAATTCCAGGACTAAAAGTAATGGGCACAGAAGGGGGAACCATCAGAATGACATCATTACCTAAGAACTATCATGAGGTCACATGACAACCTGGGAAAGCCAGGACTCTCTTTCTGACCCAGGGCTACCATCTTCAAAAATCAAAAACCAAGGAGGAGGGAATGGGGGCCAGTAAAAAAGGCAAAAGGGATTAAGAAGTACAAACTATCAGTTATAAAAATAGTCATGGCACAGGGGATATAATCAATAATACTGTAATAACTCTGTATGGTGACAGATGGGTACTAGACTCCACCAAACCTCTGGCCCCTAACTAGTCCTTTAGCTCCCCATTTCCCTTTCTCTGCCCGCAGGGGCCAGAGGGTGAGTGCTGAACCAAGCCCAGCTCCCCAGCTCCTTTATCCCCTTCTTCTGTCTTTGGGATGGGATGCTGCCATGAACCCTAACATTCATACCAGTTCCCCTCTAACTGCGGAAGGAACCTTAAGAGGGCCTGAATTCATCTACTTGATTGGTTAACTGAAGCCTCCTTCATTGTAGTAAAGTCTGATCTCCTTGGAGACACGTCAGTAAGTAGTTTGGGATTTTTTTAATGGTCGAAAGAAAGGCATCTGTGGGCTGCCGACGCACTCCCGCCACCCCTGTCCCTGTCCGGCTGCTGGCAGGCTCTGGACTTCCTACCAATTGGGGGCAGGGCTGATGGTCTGGGCCTCAGCGAGTCCAAGCGTGTCCCTGAAGATCCAGTTAAGCTTCTGTCTGAAGTTCCACGTTCACCTGCTGCCCTGAGTGGCAGTGGACACCCCCCCAGCAGGCTGATACGGAGGCCCGTCAGCCCTCCCCCTCCCACAAGGCTGGCCCACGTGGGGGCTTCAAGAACACACATCTCTCAGGCCTAAGCAAATGGTGAGGTCTGTCTGACTTGGAAAGGGGGAAATGGAAATGATGGTGGGGAATGAGGAATGAGTCACAGAACCAACTTCTCAGTCCTCCAACACTGTGCTTCTGGGAGGGGAGAGGTATCCGGAAGATATAGGAGAATGTGTGAGTGGAGGAGCAAAACAAAACAAAACAAAACAAAACAAAACAAAAACAAACAGTGGTTATACCACTTTCTCTGCAGGTCACCTATGCTTCTCTCTTGCTTCTCCCCTTCCCTTGTTGCTCTGCCAAGTTCCCCGGTACAGGCGGGCCTGCTCTCGCTGGGGGAGCTGCTGCACTGGAGTTTGGGGAGTCCTGCTCATGGATGGTGTTCAGGAGCAGGCATGAGGGTGGCCCAGGCCGGTGAGGGTGCCCTGGATCTCAAGCCTGCTCCTTGGAAGGCTGGCAGAGCCCTGCCTCCTCTTCTCCAGGGGCCACACACGGCAGCGGTGACAGAAGTCCAGGGCTCCATCCAGAGCATCGGCCAGAGCATTCAGCTCTTTGAGGTCATCATGGTGGTGGCACACACACCTCAATTCCAGAATCACCCAGAAGTAGCGATGTCTTCCAGTCTTGAACTTGCTGTTGGAAAGTAATCTTGCAGATGTAATCTTTCAGCAGCTCCTCCTTACATTCAGAGTCAGAGTCTAGCAAGGCCCTAGGGGCATTCCCAGGGCAGAGACAGAGCCACTGGGCTCCATTCCAGGGGCTTTGGTGCCTGTGGGTTGGCTGATGTGTCCGTGTTGGAAGGCTCAGGGTCAGTGATGATTCTGGGGGGGTCACCTGCTGCTTTTGCTGGGCCCACACAAAGGGCTGCTCTGTGCCCCCTGGGGGTCCCTGTGGGATTGGCGCCTGGGGACCGCTGCCCACAGAGCCACACTG